TCACCAGTGCTGAGTACAGGGGCAGTAACGCTCTCTGTCTAGCCTGTTAAGTGGTCTGGCCTCTCCCATTGACTCATCATGGTGGGTGTGATACCTGGACCATGGGGCTGGTCGCTCTATGTGGGAGCAGATGGTGCAGTGTCCATTTCTGCCTGGGTTACTGGGGCTCCTCCACCTGCCGTTGTGCCTCAGTTTCAACAGCAGGCTGTGCTGAAAGTTCATTTTGGCAGAAATGTTTGGACCAGTTCCGTCCACAGTTTAAAAATGTTTTTCACTTTCACTTCAGTAGGGATTTTGTTTTGAAGTAGAGCCTTATCATGTAGTTGTATGTCAGAGGCTTTGAATATGGTTTGTTTATTTTTACCGTGGTACACTGTATAGTTGATAATGTAGGAAGGTAAGCCCACTCCTAGATCATGAGAAAGACTTCAGAGACAGACTTGGACATTGTTTATTTCCAGTGTTGTATACTCAACAGCTGTACTTAAGACTGTCTGATTTCCCACTGAGTTTTATATTTTTACATCTTTGATGTTTGTGTTATTGTAAGACTCCTCTGAGAATTAGTTGCTTGTTCTTACAGCCAGCAAAAGCTCCTCTGTTTCGAGAGAACAGGAAGGTATCAGTGACAGGGAAAGGCAGAATTGATCTTTTTAATGCTATAAATATTATGTAAATACCTTACTTCGAAGAAAGCTATCATATTCAGTCTTTTCAATTGAGAAACAAAATTGAAGGTTTGGGTTTTTTTATTTTAACTCCAATTTTTATTGTTTGTGATTTCATACAAAAAATCCTGTTCATTTTTTTTAGATACCTGAAATGCTACTGTATGATTCAGAGGAACAAGAAAAGACTGGAAAAGCACATAAGGAACTTAAGAAAAAACATTCAGGTAATATTTAGATGGACCCACAAGTTATTAGCACTTATTAGTAAACACTTATCCAGTCCTGTGTTGGGCATAGATGACAGCATAAATACTCTGAGTATAGTTTTGCCAGCATAGTCATAGACTTCAGTATTGTTCACGTTTCAGGCATTTTTGCGCAAGGGAACATTAGTCTGGAACATACATCCTGGCTGATCAAACCCAGTCTCTTCTATCACAAGCAATCACTACATATATTCAGTTTTATAAACTGATTAAGCTGCATCTTCGTTTGTTCTGTGTCTTCCTTCGGTGTGGATGTTATTACACAGCCTCAGAATTAGATGTTTTTAGAGTTTTTCAGTCTATATGTTTTCATTATTGTTGTCCTAGACCTGCTCATTTTGCTTTAACAATTCTTTATCGCCAATAACTAATTTCTTGTAAGTAATGCCACTTTTCCAGAATAATTTGTTTTTATAATAAAACTTAAAATTTAACGACTTTAAAAATAGGCTGTCAAACATAATGTGAGAGACCAGTGCCAGCACTCATTTGCATAATACTCCTTTTAGCGACTTTTTATAAACCACTAGTCTAAGTAGCACTTAGAAGTCATGGACCCAACAGAGTATAAAATAGTAAGTAGTTCACTTGGGGTTTCTTGTTTTGTATTGCTTCTGAGTAGACATTCCAGCCCATCAGAATAATGGCCAAATTTAGGATTTAGTGTTCATGATACCATCCACCTTTATCCTAGATCATGGTACTTAATCTATGCCTCAGAGCTTATTAACGGCATTCGTTTATGTGTGGATATATTTTAGCATTTTTTCTTTTGTAGGATATTGCAATTAATTTTGCAGTATCTTTAGGCTTATTTTGAGAAACTGCTCAACACACTGAAGGACCTGGAATTTTCAGAAAGACCTTGTAGTCTACCTGTCATCAGAGACATGGTTGTAGACAAAAACACATGGGCTTCCTTTCTAAAAACATCCCAAGTAGTTTCAGTTTCTATGGAAATAAAGTTTCTTTTATGATTAGTCCTCAGTAATGAATTAGTTTTGCCTTCTTTTCCAAATATCAATGAAATATTTTACAGCTTTGGAACAATTTCAGTATATTTCTTTCCGAGGAATATGTATTTCAAATGAAATTACATGTTGTTTCCCTGAAAGTACTTTGAAAAAGGCATGTTCTTTGTGTTACTTCGAATGCGCTTAATTCATATCTCAAAAAATATTCTGTTGCTTTTCCTTAGTTATTTTAAAGTGACATGAGTATATTATATGCGTAACAAATTATGTTCTACAGGTGATCCTGATTTTCTGAAGTCATTTCTGGCAATCCATGAATCATGTAAAGTGTATGGAGCAACGCCTAGCAGGTATATGACATTCCTTCGCATATACAATGCCATCAATAACAGTAAAAGAAGAGAGCTGATAAAAAGGCAAAAGCACCTGCAGGTATGTATTTAAAACATTTTTTAACATACTACTCTTCAAAATACTCTCACATTTGGAAATGCATTGTGTGTTAACGGGCTGTAGCTGCTAGTGTGGTTGTGTGAGGTGTCCTCATTTGGCATATGAGGACTTATGCTGTGGTTTCAGGAGAGGAAGAGTAGGAATCTTAATGAACATCTCTGTTCAAATGCCTCAAAGAGTTAAGAGTGGTTTCTTGCTTTTGTTCATATTTTTCCTCAAAAACGTATCAGACTGGGTATGTTTTCTTGGAACTGGAAAAAGTACTTGAAAGCACATTTGAGTTTTTCACTCATATGTATTTGAATTGCGTTGCAAACAACCCATCATCTTTCCATCAATATAAGTCCTGCCTCTGCTTGTACAGTTTTCCATATGTAGCACCCCTTTGTTGGTATCTCTGCAGCAACTTCCTGCTTTGTGTGATTCCTGCATCCTTCTAGTTGAACAAGCTGTTATTTATCTTTAACCTTATGGTGCTCTGTGTAGCTTTAGCCAAGAACCCCTTTGTTGTGATTTTTCTCTTGTTTTGTGTTTTGGAACTGATATCAAATTCCTTTCCACATGTCAAACCTTTACACAGTTCTAGACCAAATGCAGTGCATCTCAGGGATGTTGGTTTACTCCTGTTCTGTATGCAGAACATACGTATTTTTGAAATCCATTTATTACCTTTCCAGTCATACTTCCTTCCCTCCACCCATCATCCCTCAACTGGAAAGATCTGTGTGATCCTTTAGGACGTGTAACTTTTGTCTTTACCCCTCTCCCTTCCCTTTCAGCTCCTTTTCCCAGTGACCATTGCTGCTATTCTGATACCACACTTGCAACGCTGTACTTCTTCTTAAAGCACCTGTCAAAACCTAATGGCTTCCTTGGCTTGTATTCTACACTGTTTTTATTCTGCCTGCCAATAATTTTCCATCAGTGTAGTAAGCAGTTTAAAAAGATTTATGTTTGTAATGGTAGAAACTGCTTTTTTTTTTTTTTATTTAGACAATACCTGCAGTTTGTTTGTGACAAACATTCATTTACTTGTTAAATGCTCTGGTTAAATAAAAGTAATCATTTACATGAAAATTGGAGATGTGTATCCTAAATCAAATCATCTTCCAGGCAATATATATTCTTCAGATATATCTTGAAATAACTCTACTACCAGATTACCACGGAGTAAATAATTTAGACAGTGTGAATAAAGAAAATAGTTAGTCTGAAGAATAATCGAGCCCTTGTTTTATGTACATCTATGCTCATTAAAGAATGTACAGATATGCAGAAATGGGATAATTAATTTGTTTCAATTTGTTTAATTTTTATAGATTTACAGGAGAGATAATTACATGGAGTTAGTATCAGTTAACTGAAATGCTGGAGAGTTAATGAGAAACAGATTATGTACTAGTTGCTACTCCATTAAAAGTTTTGTTATTTTGAGAATTTTGTTTTCAGCTTTTTGATGTAGGAATAGATCTTAGGATAATCTATAATTGTCAGATCTCCTTGTTGGGTTAAGTAATACTAAGAAAATGTAAATAATATGAAGAAAACGTGGAACATTAATTAAAAAATTAAGAATATTAGTCTACATCAGTTATTTTGTGCATACTGTTTGTAACCAACCTTCACTTAAATCTGTTTGAAATTTATGACTAAATAACTGCTTCTTACAAACTTTTATAGGCAGGTGTTTCAAAGCTGAATGAAGCTAAAGCCCTGGTAGATGAACTGAACAGTAAAGCTGGAGAGCAAAGCATTTTACTCAAAATGAAGCAGGATGAGGCTGATGCTGCCCTTCAAGAAATTACAGTATCTATGCAGGTATTGTATACAGTCATGTCAAAAGTGGGGATGGGAGTGGGGGAAGAGATGTTTTTCTATTTTTGGTCTCCATCAGGGTTATAAAACCTGATGCTTTTACAGGAGTTTGCCTAAGGGAATGCATGAGCCCTGATGCTTGAATAAACTTGCAGAGGACAGAGGATTTTATAATTTAAATCATACTTGCACTGCTTGAGTAGGAAGAGTAGATTTAACTGATGGAATAGTAAGAATACCAGGTTTGGCACCTCAGTAGTGTTTACCACTGTAGTTTAATCTGAAAGTTTTCCTAGAAGTTCATAAATCCAAACTGATCCACTTTATAATGTTTATTATGGAAAGGAACTTTAACAAAATACTGATAATTAGCACCATTTTAAGTAACAAATACCAGGAATTAAATTTGTGGACTGTTAGGAGGTTATGTATTTCATGAAGTGTGTTAAGTTAACCTCATAAGTTAACCTCAAAGAAGGTTAAATAATTCTTGTGTGTTCATCACACCTTGAATTTTTTTTCTTCAGCTCCAAGATAGACTTTCTGTTTTTTGGAGGAGGTGATTTTCTTTAGTAATGTTTTCTCAGTTAAGTAAAATAATTGTGCAGAAAGTAGATCTCTACATTGATACTTCCAGGAATCCTAAATGTAGGATAAGGCATAATGAATCTGCTGTCACTGCACCGTTTGTTTTGTCACTGGTTTAGCCTGGTCAGTCTGAAGCAAACTTAAATAAAGAAGCTCAGTGACAAAGACATCTCTGTATGCAGTAAAGTAGGTGCCTGCTCTTTAAACCCCTTGGTTCACGGTGCTTTAAAGGTGCATTACTTCCCCTTTTTAGAAGTCTACTTCCATGGGCAATTTTTAATACTTGAATTTGAGTAATGATGATTGCTTGGGTCTGTTCACTGCTGGCCTCAAAGAATTTATGATGTCATTGTCCCTGATTTCTGTTTTAAACCTGTGTATGCTGTTGTCCAGTAGAGTTACAAGCTGTGTAGCACATTTTACGTTGTAGGACAAAATCAGAGAATGCACCAAAAAGCAATGAAACATGATGTGCCCACTGACATCAGAAGTATTGCAGTAGAATACTGATTATTTAGATTAGCATGAAGTAGAGGTGCCCTCTAACATTTTAATGTCACTTCAAATGTTCCAGTTTATGTAAGAAAGACAGCTCTAATACGTACAGTTTCTTTTAATCTCCTTTCAGAGCAAGGCTTTTGACCTACAACTGAATTTTATGGTTTTCTTTTTCAGAGCTATCATTCAGTGTATGTACATTTGCATGAAATGTCTAATAGAGTTTTATCTAGCCTAATGTGTTATGGGTCTGAATGCAATCTTCAATGACATGCTAGTCTACAGCTTAAGTGCTCAGAAAGGTTAATAATAATCTCAAGTTTTTCTCTGCTCTTCTACATCTGTCACTCTGCTGTAAATTCAACTCTGCTCAACCACTGCTGGTTATAATAATGTGTTATATACTGGAAAAATGTAAATGCTGGGATTTCTTGTCCTGTATCTTTTAGGTGAACTGAGCCTAGAATATTAGTCTTTTATTTTATGCATTTATCCTCAGTTATGTTTTTTTTCACTGGTATTGGTAGTCCCTGTTTTGGTTTGGGATTTGTGGGGTCTTTTTTTTTTTTTTTTTGTTAACTTCAGGATATGTAAGGACTTCTTTTATTGTAGATTTATATACTAGGTACTTATTATTGTACTGAATTGCTTACGAGTCCTGGAGGTGGCTAATCGCTACTGTCTGTTGTACAGTACAAATCCAGGGGAAATGGAAATCCAAACAGCTTAGAGTATATGTATGACATAAGGTGACAAAAGCTCATAATGAGTCTCAAAAAGGCACGTACAGATATTTTCTGTGATAAAGGGAAGGAGACACAGTAAAAGCAAAAAAATGCTTATTCCATGAAACTTAGTTGCCTAGCCAACCTGTCTAGTATTAAATAGTCCTAACTATTTTATTGTAACTGGTATTGCGCAAACTATATTATCATCAAGACTTAATGAAATAATAGACCTAATGGAATAAAATCTGTGTGAACTTAAAAACTGAAGGTATTCTTTTTTTTACAGAATGCTAGTGAGCAAAAAACAGAAATGGAAAAACTAAAACACCGGATAGCAGAAGAGGCTGCAGAAATAGAAGAAAGAAAAAGAAAAATTGAAGATGAACTAAAAGAGGTTCAGGTAAGAGCTGATAAGGAAACATAATATTTTGCAGTCTGATTTTATTCGACTTACTCGAGTCCTGCTGTGCAAAATGGTTCTGCAGAATTTATTCCTGCATTTCTTAAATTGTGCTCTAAATTATTTCGATATTAAAACTTTTATACATTAGGAAACAGTATTCTATTTGCCAGATTGAGATTGTAATTTTGGCATTTGTATTCTAGTAGATCTTAATTACGGAATGAATTTTCAGGCCAAATCTTACCTGCAGTTGCTATTTCTGTGCTACCATGGTCTGCTGAGTTCTGCAGATTTTATGGAAAGTTTTTCAATTAGTAGTATCTTACATAGGCTGACTACATTCCCCTGCCTTGATCAAGCTGGTAATGTCATGGGGGTTGGTACCATCAGCTGAATGGAAAGAGTTTAATGAGAGATAATTTCCAGTTATTACTAAGTTCTGAAAATTCTATGTCCTTATGGCAGTATATCAAACTGCTTGTTCAAGAGACCTTACAGCTGTTAAGCGTTAGTTTTTTGGGGAGGGGTGTGTGTTCAATCATTGCTTTTAGTCTCTATTTTTCATCCCGTCCATTTTTAAATTATACTAAATAATAAGGGAAAAGTACAGCAACCTGATTTTTTTTCCTTTTAAATATCATATGTGCCAAGGAATTGGATCCTTGTATTTAAAGTGACATGGAGCTACAGGATTAGGGTAAATCCTTTTCTGTGGTCTTTGATAAGCATGAAAGATGTGCAAGGTGTGCATAGTCCTTAACGATAATCTTTAACTTTCTTCTGTTTTCTTATCATTTTGTTGCTTTTGATAAGGGCAAAGGCTGCCTGGATTTGTTTAGCTTCAATTTGAAATCCCTTCAATTTGAAATCCCTTCAATTTGAAAATTGAAAGCTTTTGTGACCTTTACAGCTACGTATCTTTACAAAGATATCCTTCGGCATGCCTATAAATAGTAATTAGCATAATTATTAAAACATAGCTGTATCACAATGAACAATGAAAGAACAAATGAACATGATTGGTACTAATGTATGTATAATGCTTACGAATTACAGTGCTGAATGAAAATTTAGGGGATGTCAGGATTGTAATATGCTATTTTACATGGAAATATATTTATTATCTCTTAATAAACACATGGCAATTTTTTAATAACTTGTGCACATGAATATGCATTGATGCCAGTTGGCTAGGCAATAAAATATGTAAAAAGAAAAAGAAATTCTATGAAAACTGGAATGGCAAATGTTTGTTTTCTTGTATCCTCATCTCTTTTTTTTTTTTTAATGTGCTTTTATGTTTTAAGCCACTGGTTAATGAAGCTAAATTAGCAGTTGGAAATATAAAGCCAGAGTCTTTGTCAGAAATACGGTCACTACGGATGCCCCCTGACATAATCAGAGACATACTAGAAGGAGTTTTAAGGTTGATGGGAATTTTTGATACATCTTGGGTGAGCATGAAGAGGTGAGGATTTTATTTAAGCTTTAAACTTAAACAATAATTTACAATATAACTTTCTGTTATATTCAGGAATGACATGTGTGCAGAATTTATTGATTTCATAGGGAAATGACCTCTTTAATATTTGTTTCTTCTTTACTTAGTTATTTCATTCTTTTTACAGTTTCTTGGCCAAAAGAGGTGTGAGGGAGGACATTGCAACCTTTGATGCCCGTAATATTCCAAAAGAAATACGAGAGAATGTTGAAGAACTTCTTTCTAAAAACAGAACATCTTTTGATCCAAAGGTAATTCCTGATCGCACTCCATAAATTGGAAAAAATAGAAACTGGAAAAAAAGTAAAAAAAAAAGTGATGTGTGATTATGTGATTTGCCAACATAATTTGTAGAATGAACTTAAATTAGCGAAGTGACAAATTCTGCTTACAGAATGTGTCAGTATAAGAGATAAAAGTGTAGCAAAGGTTACTGTGTCGCATACTACCTCTAACTGAGAGTTCTGTTGGTGGCTGAGGAGCAGTGGGATGAAAAGTCATTGCGAAGTCAGAAGATGTTGTGTCACTGCTATAAATTCAAACTCGGATTGAGGAACTGGCTCCTTCAGGCCTCAAACTGGCTTCTTCAAACTGGCTCCTTCAGGCCTCCTTCTAGCAGTAAGAGTCTTAACAGTATACTTAATTAAAAAAGGGCAGTCTAATGATGATTAAATGTTTTTGATCTTTGATAACTGATTTGGCATTAGATAAAAAAAGGAATTCTGCATACTACTTCTTTATTTTTAAAATGAAAGTTGTAGTTCTCTGAGGAGGAACACACTGATAAATTATGCATTAATTTGAAACTTCTTAACTTCAGGGAAGCTTCATAGTTGTAAAGATATCCTTTTTTCTTAACATAGACCGATGGCCTACTATATAATCTCTTCGTAACAATTTAAAAGATCAGTAGAGAAGCCGGCTAATTGGTATATTCAAGTTGGTAACTTGTAAATCTGTTGCAGTTACTTATCTTGGATTGGTCTTATCTCATCTACATTATACTTCATGTATTTTCTTGGAACTGTTTTTTTTCAGAATGCTAAACGAGCCAGTGCTGCAGCAGCTCCATTAGCAGCTTGGGTGAACGCTAATGTCCAGTATTCCCATGTCCTAGAACGAATTCAACCTTTGGAAAAAGAAAAGGCTGTCTTGGAATCGTAAGTTAGACGCTGTTACAAAATAAATGTTCTTATTTCCAGTGGTGGTGGGTGAAACTAAAGCTGCCAAGGAGAAATTGAAGTTTATTAAAAACAAAAGATATAAGAAACTGTACCTCATCCATAGGAAATACAACGTTCATGCTGCAACTGAAAAAGTCAGCATGCAGTATTTCGTTTTTCCTGGAAGCTATGCCTTGGCCAATTTGTTTGTTGGCCAGTCACGCGTTACCTGTCTCAACTGAAATGTGTCAGGGAGAAATGAACATCACAGATATGTTTAAAATATATTCTGTCAGTGAAACCCATGCTATTTTATGAGATGTGAAGTTGTTCTTTTTTCAGTCATGCACCGAGTATGACCAGTTTCTCCTTAAGACCAGAAAGATATGACATAGTCTTAGGACCATCCATAACCTGAGGAATCTATACCAATTGTTTTGCCAGGTCTTAAAATTCTGTATTAGAAGAATTTGTTCTGATCTGTAAGAACACATTTGAATGGGATGTTTGGTTTCCATTTTTAAAGCTATGTGATGAGAAGCAGTAAAATCTTTTTTACATGTGGAAACAGATTTTTGTTAATAGAAATCACAAGAAACAAAATGTCTCTGAACTATCTCTGTGTAAATGACTTTCCTGTTACATTTACCCTTTTTTTATTTTTCCTTTGGATTGTAGTAATCTCAAGAAAACTGAAGGCAGAAAACAGAAATTAGAAGATCTTCTGAACTCTGTTGGTCAGAAAGTGTCAGAACTGAAAGATAAGTAAGTTTGGTTCGTTTATTTCCAAATATAAGTATGAACATTGATAATTTTATGGTGTGAATAATGACAGTTATCTAACCAAGTCTAAGTCCCTGCTTGTCAAGATATTTACATCAGAAGCAGCAATAATAAGGCTATCTGTATGTTCGGTGGAGATAAGTGTTATTCTAACAGTATTTATTTATCTCATTGATCAGATGAAATGCTCCTTAAAGGTACCTGTTTCTCAGTACTGACTCTGTGGGAAGCCTTCAGTGTAGACACTGTAGATGTGAAAGATAAGCAGTATATCTCTCACCTTTTAAATCTAAGAGGACTTTAATGTTTCCTCAGGACTTTAGAAACATTCCTATGCAAGACACTACTGATCACAGCTTGAATAAAGACAATTTTGTTTCTTTTAGGATGACCTGCTTTTCTGACAGTTAGCTATTTAGCAATCTCCTTTTTTCTTAGCATCTCATCAAGTACGTGACTTGTGTTGGCATGAAAAATGCTGTGGTGAACCTTTATACTTTCTCCAAGTTCAGTTTAATCCAAGTCTTTTAGTTCAGTGTTTGTGTTCTTTAATTAGTATAGGAGATATTTTATGACCAGACTTAGGTGCATATTACTAAAAGTCATCTTTCGAAGTTCTGCAAAAAAAAAATAAAAATTGGAGAATTCTTCATGACATTCAGCTGTATTGTGATGTTTTAATTTAACTTGATACCTAACTATATATGAGAGTTAAATATACTGCTTTAAAAAAGGGGACATTTAATGCATTAATTATTGTAATTAAATATTAATTAAGATAATTAGATGTTAAAAATTACAAAATAATGCCTAAACCTTGCCTACTGTTTGGACCATGTTCTTATGTCATAGTAGTTTACAAAACAGAGTACTGTACATTGAACTGGGGTCGTTCATGGGATTTAGCAATGTTCTCCTTTAAAGGTTTCATGGATTAAATTTACCAAAAAGTTACAGTTGTCTAGTACGGCATTGAGCCTGCTATTTTCCTGACTAGATGCAGAACAAAACTGAAAACAATCACTAAAATCAAGTCAGGTTGTTCAAGTAGAAGAAATGATTTTCAGACTTCACCATCTATAGTGCAGATATATTTTTAAATCTCACCTGTGCATCTATCTAAATTTTGTTAGTTAATAGTCTAACAAGCTCAACTGCAAATTAGAAACAGAAGGTGTAAAAAAGAATTGTAGTTGTTTTCTTTATGAACAATAAGGGAGGAATTAATTACAAATTAATTAAATTAAACTGCCTTAAAAATAATGTCCATAGGTTTAGTAATTCATGATAGCAATTAAAAACAGTAGTTGTTTTACAGGTTCCAGACTAGAACAACAGAAGCTGCAAAACTTGAAGCAGAACTAGGTCAAGCTCAGAAAACATTGCAGGCTGCAGAGATACTGATAAATCAGCTTGACAGGGAACACAAAAGATGGAGCACCCAGGTTAGTGAAAATTTTCATAAGTACATCTTGTAGCTGATAATTAGAAAATACAGTTTTTGCACTGTTGGGCGGATGTGAGTTATTGCCATTCTGCATGTCTCCTAAGTGTACCTTTATTTGATTTCTCATTAGAAATAAAAGCTTTTCTTCCTTCTGAAACTTCTTTTTACTTCACTGTGTAAGTTACTTTACCTGTCACATAGCTACAGAATGTGTAAAGAAACCCCTGTATTGAATACAGAACACACAACATTCTCTGACTTCTTTTCAGTCACGATAATAATGTAATTGTTATAATGGCTGAACATGTCAGGACTTGGACCCTCCAAGTTGAGTTACAATCAACAGAGACAGATTTGGGGAAAACATGAAACAACCACAGTCTTAAAATGTATCTCCTTTATGGCATTGATGTTGGAAATGCAAATGTAGACCTACCCAAAATGTTGGGTTGCTTTTGAAGCCTTCATTTCTGTGTTTCAGACTTTTATGCTTCTGAAGTAGATTTGGACAAATGATATATCTAGGAGAAACTGGCAAGCCTTTGGACACACAGGCCCTTCTTCAGACTGAAACAGAAAGGAAAATTCAAGATATAACCAAGCTGAAAATAGCTGTCACCTCCAGAAAGTGGTAGAAAGCTTTCTTGGGTACCTAAAGTGGAAAAAATCTCCCTGCTGAGGGAAATGGTCCTGTCTCTCTGTTGACACTAAAAAAAGACCAAACAATTAGACTAAATGCCTGCATTTTAAAGACCCAGATTTGGGTTTAGATGAATCCTTCTTGTAGGTTGACCAGCATAATGGAAAGAAATGTAAAATACTCCTCTCACTGTTCCATCTGCTATAGTAAGTGTTGGGTATATTTGAACCCCAGAGTTTGAACACTTCTAAAAGTGATTCCTCGCAGTTTTTCACTGCAGCATATTTCCCCTGTCCTTAGGAAGGTCAGACTGTCCGTTAATGGTATGCTGTAGACCAGACTGGCAGAGGTGTTAGTCAGGAACTCATTCCATATTGAGGACCATGAAAAAGCTGTTATTCATTTCCCTTTAAAGTAAAGAGGAAGTAATAACAAGGTGCTTTTTTGTTTGTGTATCAGCTTTTCTTGTTAATGTGAGTTTGATTAAAGTAGAAAAGTGACAAGGTACTTTGAAACCAGTTATGGCAGTCGTCTGTTGTTTTGATACACTATTTTTTCTCCAAAATACTGGAATATCTTGAGGCACAGGTGATGTAGTGTAGATAAATTATTTGAAGATATATGATAAATGTATTTTATCATGCAAGCCTGCAGTGAATCACATTTTGAAGTGTAATAGATAGATAAAATATTTAGTGTATGTATACATATTGTAAGTAGTACTCACTAGCTGACTGTGACTAGGGTCACTTACTTTGTATTGTTCTTACTATAATATTATTTGCCCAGTTGCTTATAAGTGACAAGATGAACTGTTCATCAAATTCATAGATTTGTAGTAGGTAATCTCAGGAATATCTGTTCATGCTCTAGCCTGGAGATAAAAAGAACTTTACCTGTACTTTCATTTGTGTGTTGCTGTGGGTTAGATGGGTATAGATATCTGAAATGCAAGAACAGAGACTGTCTCAACTGTGTTCTCAATGGCAGTCAAATTTGATTGTGACTTTTCAGTAACTGATGAGAAATATTAACATAGTTCATTTCTATACATTCTATACTTTTTTTTGAAGGTGTCAGAGATAACAGATGAACTGGCTACATTGCCTAGAAGAGCACAGTTAGCAGCTGCGTTTATTACCTATCTATCTGCTGCTCCTGAGGATCAGAGGAAAACCAGCTTGGATGAATGGACCAAATCATCAGGCCTTGAAAGTAATTGTGTCTCTGTTTGTGTCTCTGTGTGTGTGTGTAACTAACAAAGCTTGATTGAGGAAGTTAGAAATGCCAGTGAGTTTTAATGAACAGTCTCAATTGTCTTGGGGTTTCCCAAATGAAAAATGACAAAATTTTCTTACTCAATACTTCTATATACAGTTAGACTATTTATTAGGATTATTCAATTATCTATTAAGATTATGGATTGTTATAAATTCTCTAAGACTTAGCTCCACAGTCCCTCCTTAAATAGAAAAGTTTACTTGAATGAATGTATTCATATTAACTGTTGTAAATTTGCCAATGCATGCTTAATGTTTCTGCTTTTTCAGTAGCTTTTTTTATCTGTGTGTTAATAATACCATTAAATATTTTTATAACATCAACTAGTTAATAGACATTAGTTCAAGCAATAAAATTTCAGGGAATTCTACAGACTTGCACTGTGTTAGTCAGAGTCTCCACTGTATATAGAGTGGGAAATGCTTACAAACTATGCAGACTACAAATGCACAAACTTACACTCCTTCATTTATCAGAGTTTGATTTACGGCGGTTCCTGTGTACAGAAAGTGAGGAGCTAGTTTGGAAAAGTGAAGGTTTACCTTCAGATGATCTTTCAATAGAAAATGCTCTTGTCATCTTGCAGGTAAATTTAGCTTTTTTTTTTTTTTTTTTGGTCTTGTCTTGGAAGTATTTCAATTTCTACAAATCTTAGTAACATGGCGTCTTGTCAACTATTTAATTAGTGTTACTTTGTTAGCTCCACAGAACACACGCAGAGAAACAAATATTTATGTAACTCTGGGTATTCTTTAGCAAAAGGAAAAAAATCAGTTAAAGAAAATACATGTTTTTCTTTTTGCTTTTACAGTTTTCTTCTGGATGTTGAACAGACAAAACCTGCTATCAGTTTATTCAGGCCTAAAGTGTGAATAATCATTAACACCAATATGATCAGTGGATGATTATGTACTATATATGTTCACTTTGACATGTCATTTCTAATACCTTTTTTCTCAGAAAAAGGAAAAGACTATATGCAGATACCTCTCAAAGCATCTAGATTTTAAACCCTCAGATTACATCAGATTAGGTCTGTGATATAGGGTGCAAAATGCTATTTACTTAAGACCAGTAGCTAATAATACTTGAGAAAAGAATGATAATACTGTGCTTATAATTATGATTCCGTTTTATCTTATGGTTATATATAGGTGTATGATGAATATATATAGACAGTTGCACAACTGTGTACATAATAGTCTAGTTATAATGTAGTAGTTTATTAGATCTGTTAAAAGTAAAGATGTAATGCCATGAGGAGACTCTACATTTGCCACAGGTAGTTTGCTTGGGTAGTGATTCTCTCAAATCAACTACAGCCTTTTCTCCAATTTAAATTTATCTTGCCTTATCATTTTGATATTAGATCTAGTTATTCCTTTCTCAGTTTGGTTAAAAAGCTCTTCAATAAATACTGTTTTCTACCCTTAAGTCTACTTAAATGCTATAATCAAATTTTGTTTTCAACCTTTCCTTAATTGAATCGATTGAGGTCTTAAAAATCTCGGTGTGGATGAAGAGCTTTTTCATGCCCTCCCTCAGCTCAAATTTTCTTTGTGTACTGTTTTATTTCAGAATCCTTTGAAAACTGGAATTAGACAGGGTATTTTACCAATGTCATCTACAGTACATTTCTCAGCCTTTAGTGCTCCTCATCTTTTGATGGTTGGATATGGTCCATGTGTCCCTGTCTCAGGCTGAGATTCATGTAGTTACTCAGTTTGGAATGGTAGGAATCAATCTAAAACCAAAACAAGCCGTGAAAGTGGTCTTTTATCAGACTGAACCAGAGAATTGCTGAAAATACATATTCAAACCCTCAGCAGGTTTGCTGATGACACAAAACTGGTATGAATGGTAGATACACCAGATGGCCAAGCTGCTACCCAGAGGGTCCTTGACAGGCTGGAGAAATGGGTTGACAGGAACTTCATGAAGTTCAGCCAGGGAAAGTGCAAAGTCCTGTACCTGAGGAAGAACAGCCCTGTGTACCAGCATGTGCTGGGGGGCTCCCAGCTGGGAAGCAGCCTTGCAGAAGAGGCACTGGGGGTCCTGGTGGACACCGGGTTGTACATGAGCCAGCAATGAGCTCTTGCTGCAAACAAGGCCCATGGTGTCTTGGGCTGCTTTAAGCATAGTATTAACAGCAGGTTGAGGGAGGGGATCCTTCCCTTCTACTCCACACTGGTGAGGCCACACCTGGAGTGCTGTGTCCAGTTGTGTGCTCCAACATGAATGAAGATTTTAATAAAATGAAAACTTGCTGTCTCATCGGTATATGTGTTACTAGGCAATATTACCAAAATACAATACATCGTAGTGTTTGCAAGTTTGAGATTTGGATTTCTTTGTGATTGTAAGTAAAATGCTATTTGTATATTTATGCCTGAAAAGTACTTATATTCATTATTCTTTCTAAAATGTATTGATGTCCAAAACCAGAAGTACTGTACCTTTGCCCACTACAGGAAGAAAGGGAAAAATAATACCTTTTCTTCTAAGTGTCAAAGCAGATGTGAATAACAAAAGCAAGAGATTATACTCATTGAGTATAATCCTTAAAAAATTAAAAAAATTTTGAGTATAGTCTTAAAACCTCCTGTTTTTAAGAGAGGTTGAAGAATTGCCTAACTAGCAGGACAAACACCTGAGAATTTTGGCTTTGGGTGCTCTTTTTTTTTTTTTTTTTGTTAAAGGAAGAAATAAAATAAAAGACATAAAATTCCTTCTACTTTTTTTTTTTTTTTTTGGCCACTTTATTGTTAGGCTTTCATTGTATCTTTAAAGAGTTTGTTAATGAAAAAGATTTTAAAATTACTATACCATTAGTTTGGGGAATTAAAAAAGGATTCCATTTAATTTTATTCTTGAACAAAATAGATTTCAGTGTGTGTGTGTGTGTGTATATATATATATATATTTTTTTTTCCCCCCCCCCCTAGAGTAAAGTGTGCCCATTTTTGGTAGACCCTTCTTTCCGGGCCACTGAGTGGTTGAAGACACATTTGAAGGAATCACGTTTGGAAGTTATTAACCAACAGGTGCAGTATTTACTCTCAGTCTTACAATTCTGGTCTGCTTGAGCTCACTCTATTCCAGGGTTTGGAGAGCAGTTCTTAAAGGGGTGTGATAGCAATCACCAACAATGGGGTTATATTCCATGAAGCATGTGATTCTCAGAGTTCTAATTTACAATGGTTCTTAATTGGTACTTGTATTGGGTCTGGCTGAGATGGAGTTAATTTCCCCCATAGTAGCCCTGACAGTGCTGTGCTTTGTATTAATATGTAAAAAGGTGTTGGTAACACACCAGTGTGTTGGCTGCTGCTGAGCAGTGCTCGCACAGCATCTAGGCTGTCTCTCCAACATTTCCGCCCTTGGGGGTGGGCGAGATCTTGCGCAGGGATATAGCCAGGACAGCTGGCTCAAACTGACCGAGAAGATATTCCATACTATATGATGTCAACTCAGCAATGAAAGCTAGGAGAAAGGAGAGGAGGAAGAGGGGACATTTATGTTTGTCTTCCGGAGCAACTGCTACGCGTTCTGGAGCCCTGCTTCCCAGGATGTGGCTGGACATTGCCTGCTGATGGGAAGTAGAGATAAAAATCTATGTGTTCCTTTGCTTCTGCGCATGGCCTCTGCTTTTTTCATATTAAAATGCCTTTATCTTGACTCACAAGGTTTTTTTCTCTCTTATTTTCTCCTCTGCACTGGTCTGCGGAGGAGGAAGGGGAGTGTGACAGAGTGTCTTGGTGGGCACCTGGCATCCAGCGAAGGTCAACCCACCACAGGACTAAAAATTTGTTTACTGAACGAGGAGATCAGAGTATTTAAAATGGAAGGGTCAGCATTTGGTTTTACTTCTACAAGTTTGCCTCTTTGTGCTGCACTTTCCAAGAATATCAGTATTTCCTGTGAGAGGGAGATGGTGATATATTTGTAAACAGGTCTTCTGTCTTCTTGATGCAGTTTACTGGATTTCAGGAGAATGTATACACTTCTTCCCTATGATTTTTATATTGCATTATCTACATTGGAAATAGTAGGTTGGATTTCAGTTTGAGATGAAGATACCTAAGTTTAATTGCCCACGTGTCGCTGTTTACCTGGGTGGCAAGGCTGGCTTGGTTGCACACACATAGACAGGCGTGTAGTGCCATTCAAAAGTCTCTTATTGAACCCCACCTGGCCCCAAGGTATTGCTTCAACAGAATGTAGGTCTTGCACAGAGCTGGTAGGGATCTGTGGAGGCCTTTTAGATACGCTGTGATGGTACTAGATACATTTCTTTGGGTGATTGAATCCTTCCCCTGCTAGCTGATTTGCTTGATTACCTTTTAGGGCCTATTATCTGCATTGTCTAGGATCTTCATTGACTGTAACAGATTCTTAAACACCACATGCATGTTTAGGCACCTACACACAAAACGCTGCATTTAGGTATCTTAATATCTTAGGTCTTGACTCAGTTTTGAGACACAACTACCTAATAACATCTGAGATGCGTTAACTGGCCAGGACTTCCAGGTGTGCCTGACAGATGTGACACAAGACCTATGGTAGACCTGCTCTCTTCTGGTGCAGCAATGGGGGAGCTAGGCATGTTAAACAGGTTGTCTGTTTGTCAGTAGCTGAATGGATCAAACTTATTAAAAACTTGTGGCTAAACCCTGAAATATTGTAGGATGCTTGTAATAGAATTTTTCAGCTATTCTACTGATATTTAGATTTAGACGCCTGGTATAATGTCTTTCAGTTCATTCCAAAGTGTTCATGTTTTAAAAATACATGAATCAAAGGAATTTATTTTTATTTGCCCAGGACACCAACTTCCTAACCGCCCTTGAGCTGTCCGTAAGATTTGGGAAAACACTTATTATACAGGAAATGGATGGAGTGGAGCCTGTACTTTACCCATTGCTGAGAAAGGATCTTGTTGCTCAAGGTAAATTACCAAAATCCTTACAAATTCTTGCTCAAAGCTTTTGTATGTTAGATCTGTATTTGTCATATAAAACTCGATTTTTCTGAAAACATGAGTACTGTGTAATTTTTTCCTCTTTAGCATTAATCTGCTTCTAACACTTCAGTGCATGAAATATGTTGGAGATATGTTCATTTTCAGTAAATGGAAAAGTATTGAAAAGTATTTAAAGATTTTTTGACTGGAATGTGAATCAAGTGTTTTTATCAACTCTTCGCAATTTAAATTTTGTTATTTTCTAGTGATAATTTCAAACACATAGTTTTACATAGGAACTTGGGCCTTAAATAGACCAGAAATAACGCAACTGGTGCAGTTAGAAGGCAGAGTACTAGAATGTTGGTGTTGCTGTCTCGCTTTCATTCATTTGAAACTAAAGAAGGCACACAGGTCTCTCCCTGATGTGACTTTGGAATTGGTGGGGAGAGAGGGTCCTTGAGGTCAGCAAAATGGTGGAATTTGTTAAAAAGTTTCCTCAACTGATGAAATGAAATGAAAATAACCCCAACATTTACATTTTAAAATACCTCTTCTTTGGAGAGATAATGTACTCTATATAACTATATGTAACTGCTTTGGATTTACTTGCTTTAAAAAGGCTGATATACAAGTTTAGCAAAGATAAATAGTAATGATGCAAGTATCTCAGCATGAATTATGTTGGATTATGTTCCATATTTTGAAATTGTTTTGGTATATTAAAATATACTCGTTTGTTCAGGGAACTTTGCATCGCACTCAGGCATCTTCTTTTGCGTGTTAGTGAGCTGTGTGAACGTTAGGTCTGTGCAAGGCCAAACTGGGGAGCTGGTTTTTGAAAAGGGAGGATGGGTCACTTTGATTTTTCTTTTTTTTTCAGTCACTTCACAGGCAAGTGCATACTCCTCATCAAAGTGTGGAGGTGGGGGCCTATCTGCATTACTTTAGTTGTGATGACTGTACATATTTTCATTACTTGGAATGAAATGTTAAGAAAAATGTGGATGTATATACTGCAATAAATTTATCTTTGTACAGCTTCCATTTTCTGTTTGACGTTTTTACAGTATAGGCCTAAAATTTATTCTGATCTTGGCACAGGAGCGAAATTGGTATGTGATTTTCATCTCTACAAGTGTTTTAGCAAGAGATTTATACTTAAAGCATTTCGGATCTGCTCCTAGCGCTAAAAATAGAGAAGTACTTAGCTATGCTACCTCATATTTCTCTGGAAAGGAATTTTTCACTTTGAAACTTTTCATCTTATAATTCTGTTCTTCCTTCTTTTTTAATATCAGGAGGCAAAAATCTTACTCTAGTCGTGTGATTGATTGAGTCTGTTCTTTTCTGCCTATCTAGAATAGAAACCTGTGGTGGAGGCGGGTGGTGAGAGGCCATACATACAGTTTCATTCTGTGACAGGCATATTGAGAAATGTCAAAATATGAGGAGTATAAACAGAGATTGAAACTGTGACAGCAGAAATGTAATAAATTTTCTTTCATACTGTGATTAAATTAAATGTATTTATAATAAGACGTACATGGGATATTTCTTAATGGAATATTTTTCTTTCATCTAATGACTAGATATTCCAGCATCTTTAGTTTCATAGTCTTTCTCTAACAACTACCATAGAAAGTAGTATTTTAATAGAATTATGATTGTACAGCAACATCAACCTTCTAGAAATAATTGTAGCAGATTCAGAGATGAATGTGGTTTTGGACCACATTCAGAAAATGCTGAACCATCTTAGTTAGCCATTATGTAATTATGGCTAAGATGTTTTGATAGTGTGGTATATCTATGTAGAAATGGAAATGTATATGTTATTACAAGATTCTTACACAAAAGGAGGATTCTCCAGTGCATCTTCTGTGGTGTTTTTTCTCCTATTCATTGTTTGAAGATTTCAGAGATTCGTTTCGTGTTATTTTTACTTCAAGTACATTTTTTGCCATTTATGCTTTTTGTACTGGTTAAGGATAATTAAGCTACCCTGGTGCATTAAATATTCTCACTATGTAGCTTCCTTACATTCTTACAGGTTTGGTTTTTGTTTGTTTGTTTGTTTGTTTTTTGTGTGTGTGTAACAACACAGGATGTTATTTTCCCTAAATATTTTAAATATATTTTTCTTCCTGAACAATTTATAAATTTTATGAAAGATATTTGCATCTATTGTTCATAAAGTATTACAGAAATACCATTATTTTCAGATAATTCTTAAATCTTCCAATCAGCATGAGTATAACATTTGTTTATTATTTACAGGACCCCGTTACGCTATACAAATAGGTGAAAAAATGATTGATTATAATGAAGAGTTCCGTCTTTTTCTATCGACAAGGAACCCAAATCCGTTCATTCCCCCTGATGCTTCTTCTATTGTTACAGCAGTAAACTTTACCACAACAAGAAGTGGCTTAAGAGGACAGGTAGGAATTTAGAATAAAAACAGTGTATGTATAGCTACATCCTAGCTACATCCAACTTCTGAAAGAAGACCTGTGGTACATTTTGCATTAACAGTCACGGAGGTGATTTCTAGCACACAGATATAAATGGTAAAGTTGATGCTGAAACAAAATTTATATTTTTAAGTCTTGTCTTTATGCACTTTGAAAACAAGTAATGAGTCCAATAGAGAAATGGAAACCGTCTCATTGACTTCATTTGCAACAGATTAATTGCTAACTTTCTGTTTTCTGTTCAAGATGCATTTATAGTGCCATGAAAACATTTCTGTTACTGCTCTCCAGTGTCCTAGTTAGAGAGTAATCCTTGCATCAAGATATATTTTGTACAGGAAAAGTTTAATGAAACCAAAATATGTGTACTTTACTTCCTCCAAAATGCTAGTAACTTTTGAGATTTTTTTTTTTCTATAACATTTTGGAAGCAAAAGGTGGCATACAGACAGAAGAGAGGAAGAAATGATATAAATTAAGGGTAGAAAATATTCTCTTTATTTGACATGAACCAATTTTTTTGCAAACTACCAAGAGGCTTAGAGTTTGATGTTGATAAGTAAGATGATTCAAAATGTGAAGCATGGATAACCATATGGATTTCCTCCCTCCGCTAGAGATAGGGAATCGACATCATATTATGTAACCAAGTGAATTAACCCCCTCTTTAAGTGAAAATGCAGGGAAAAAAGCTATGGATTTTTTTTTTTTTTACTGTCTTTGTTGGCTTGAGGTGGGTTTGACTTTTGGTAGACTTGCTGGAAAGAAATACACTGCCATTCTTTCCCTTTGTTCTTTCTATCACATACTTCTCTACGTATCTGATTACATTATATACACTAATGAAGACTGCCAATTATTTTGGCAAAGGTTTAGGTCTCAGCATAAAAGTGTGTGAATCAGTGTCCTTTATAAAGTGAGCCGGTGCCTTTTGAAATGTTTTTGAGTATCTCACCTGGCTTGCATCTGCTGTTACAGACAAGGGCATGGTTCACAGTAGTTCCTAGGTTATACTTGCCACTGCAGGATATCCTGGATGTCTACATAGATTTAAAGCTGTTGGATGTCTGGTGCAACTGAGTGAACACTCAGAGGTCTACTTTAGACATATAATAGATAGTATTACTAGATAATAAAAGATAGTATTATTAACAAGTATATATTGTACCATATAATTAATGAATATATATTATAAAATACTGTACTGTTTTTTATCCTGATGAATAATGTCTTTTCCTTTTAGCTTTTGGCTTTAACAATTCAACACGAAAAGCCTGATTTGGAAGAGCAGAAGACAAAACTGTTACAACAAGAGGAAGAAAAGAAGATACAGTTGGCTAAGCTTGAGGAATCGCTTTTGGAGGTAAATTTATTTTACCAGTTAGATCTGTAAGACAATGTTCATACTGCTATGAATGAAGATGGTGAAAGTGTTGGAATAATGAGCCCTCAGAATTTTTGATTTGAGAAAATAAAAACATTATTTGCCTGGGGCTGTTGGGAGAGTAAAGTAGGTAAAATCTGTACATTTGCCATGAAACTGTAGTATTTCAGTAGATTGAGTAGTGTCAAGTTAAATGTTGGGCTAGGTATAGGCTGGTTCAAATTGATTAGAAATTTCATTAATTTTAATGCATTAAAAGAGAGAAAACTTTGTTAAAAATATACTTTTTCATTTTCAAATTTAGGAGTTTTAAAAAAACCACATTTTTAAGCTTGTGAATCATGTCAGTTGATACTTTCTTGAGACATGATTGTGTGTTGTGAAAGGAAAAAAACTTGGAAGAAAAATTCTCAGCAGAAAATGGAAAGATTTGTTGATATTTAAAACTTTAAACCTCCATGATTGTTTCTTATTAACAATTAGTTGTAATGTTCTTTATAGTTAACATTTTCCTTTCTCGTATTTAAAATGAATGTCCTCAGTTTTCAGTTCATCTTTTTATTTTAATGATGATTATTTCCTGAAAGAGTTGTACACTGCTATAAGAAAAGGTGGCTTCCAAGGAAGAGGATTGTTTTCTTTTTTGTTTGCATCTTGTCATAGATTTCACAGAAACTGTACCTCATGACCATAGGAATATATCCTCAAATCCTCCTTCCTCATAAAATGTCACAGTTGCTGCGAGATTGACCTGCTGCCTCAAAACCCTCAGTCTGTAGCTGAGTCATAGATCTTTGCAGTATCCAGCACAATGGACTTGAGCATAAGCTAATAGTGTGAAAGATTCCTCAAAAAGTAATAAACTGAATGTTATTAGACTGGCTATTAATAGCTCAATTTCAGAATTTTGCACATAAGTATATAATGTGATTTGAATTTTGAAATTTACTGTCCCAGTTAAACTCCCTATTAAATCTGAAATATTAAGCTCAAACCTTTAAAGCTGTGCTGGGGCAGATTTCTCTACAGGCACAGGGAAACTTGTTCTCTCAAACAATTCCATATGCAAAGCTGATCATCGTTTAGCATCCAGTCTGAATTGGAGCACCTCTCCTGTGTGGCTGGAGCACCTTTCCTGTGATGAAAGGCTGAGAGAGTTGGGCTTGTTCAGCCTGGAGAAGAGAAGGCTCCGGGGAGACCTATTGCAGCCTTCCAGTACCTGAAGGGGCTACAAGGAAGCTGGGAGGGACTAAAGCAACATTAACATTCCATCTGAAGTACTGTACTGGTTTTCTCCTGAAAGCCTTGGAGTAAAGATATATGTGCTGTGGCTATCTCATAGCTCACACTATGACTCCTCATAGCAAAATCAGGCTCCTTGAAAAAACAGATGATCTTGTACTAAATTCTTTTCGGCTAGAGAACTAAGTGCATTCTACTGTTCTCACTGGGGAACCTCTGTCTTCAAATATCCTGAAATGCTGTCCTACAAGTAGTTGTTTAGAACTGACTTACCTAATGAGAAGCCAATTTTTTGTTGCTGTGTAACTAAAAAATTGTATTGAAGTATATTTACTGATGGTTAGTAAAAAACCTTAAACAATAGTGAATCCTTCAAGCTTTTCCCTCTTATTAGAAGAGAAATTAATTGCAATGGAGAAGTAATGGAAAATATAGGGCAATCTCAAGGATTTTCAAGGGTTCTCTGATTACAAATCTGAAATTGCTGAAACACTGAATATTCATCTCGGTTGGAGATGAGAACTAAATTGTATAGGGGATATTGGAATGTTTTTCAAGGAAAATGAATTTATAAATGACTGGGTACAGGAAGTCATTACAAGTAACCAACTTTAGGTTAAATTGGTAGTTAAACAGAAGAAAAAAATACCCTAATTTGTTTTTATCATGGGGATATTAGCGCTTAAGACTCTGATCATAGAAATCATTCTATAAAGTTTACTGATGGCTTACACTTCAGAACATGGCAGACTGGATTTTTTGCTTTTGTTCTTGGGTTTTATTTTCCATGCTTCTTTAAAACATCTCAGTTTTTGGAGTAACCACCCTCTTTCTAGTACTCTTGATGCATTCCATGATTCAGAAATATATACAGCTTAGAAAGAAGGACAACTTCCAAAATTATTACTTCCCAGTTGAAGTTTTGTTTTAATGTAACATAGACTAATTTTAATTATTTTTTTTTACAGACACTTGCAACGTCACAAGGCAATATACTAGAAAATAAGGATCTGATTGAGTCGTTGAATCAGACTAAAGCAAGTAGTGCACTCATTCAAGAATCACTTGCTGAATCTCACAGGCTTCAGAGTTTCCTTGATAAGGTGGAAAAATATTTTAATCCTTTATTTCTTTCATCCTTCTAAAAATGGTCATGTTTATGACATCCACAGGAATCTAAGATCAGAAACATGCAAAATTAATTTTTGGAGTAAAAGATACTTGGGATATGCAGGTACAGAGAGTATTTTCAGTAATTTAATTCCTTTGTTTTACACATGTTGGATAGCTACACAATTTAAAGTCTGCCAGTTTGAATTAAACAAATTTTCCCCAGGGGCTTCTTGGGAAGTAATGGGTTTTGGCTTTATTTTTGCCATCTGCTGTTGTGAACAGAATGGATCATATGGATGTTCTTACTTATGGATGTTCTTACTTAATACAGCCTTGCTATTGCAAAAATCTAGATCATTGGTGATGCTGTTCATCTGGCATGCTGTTTTTTAAACCTATTACAGAGTTTTCCTGTGTGTTCTCATGTTTAAAGTTTTCTGTTGAATACTGGGACATGTTCTATAGTGGCAAGAGGCCTCAGTACCCTAGGGATTAATTTCCAAAATGCTCTTCATAATTTTTTGCTAAAAATGCTTTCTTCCAATCTTGAAATGTAAAGACAGTGTTGAAGTCTTGAGTCATGTCCCCCAGTTTGAAGAATCCAGGAGGATTCAGGTTTCCAAAACAAGTTCGTGTAACCCGAATGTTTTTTCGGTGGGATGAATAAACGTTTATGCAATGACCAGTAGAGGGCAATAATGTACCGTGTTTTGATCTCTGTGTTTAATCTACAGGAGAGGGATGCCTATCTGCCTTTAGCTGAGAGTGCTAGCAAGATGTACTTTGTTATCTCTGACTTGTCCAAAATTAATAATATGTACCGGTTTAGTTTGGCGGCTTTCCTGCGGCTTTTCCAAAGGGCTCTGCAAAGCGAGCAGGTATTTGCTCTTTTCCTGAAGCTGTTAATGCTGTAGAAGACTCAATCTGCTTTGATCCTTAGAATTCATTAGTTGCTCTGGACACTTTTATAAAATAATGTGTAATAACCGATGATGAAATGTATAATAGGAAGTGGTGCTGAACTATTGTGCCTTAGATATTCAGAACACATGCACATGGGATTTTTAATGATCTTACCATATATATAAATTGTAGAATCATAGAATGGTTTGGATTGGAAGGGATCATCTAGTTCCAACCCCCCTGCCATGGGCAGGGACACCTTCCACTCGACCAGGGTGCCCCAAACCTCCTCCAGCCCGGGC